GTTCAAACACCTTTATTATTATTATATATGTTCAAACACCTTTATTATTATTATATATGTTCAAACACCTTTATTATTATAAACATTCTGTAAGTACTGCAAACATTCATAGCTTCATGCATGTAATATTTATAAATGGATTGATGGGCCGATTGTAATTCAGTCTTCATTTGGAATGAAAGCTGTGCATGCATGTATTAATGGCACTATGAGTTTTTGTAATAATGGAAAAGCAGTCATTAACTTCATATTAAGTTAAGTATCATATCTGTAAGTATCAGCAGGAGGTGGTAGAAGGAAATTTGATCTGGTAGTTTCTCTACCAAATTTTATTGAACTTGGCATAGCTAGTACTTTTCAATGACACAAGTTTCTCTACCAAATTTTATTGAACTTGGCATAGCTAGTACTTTTCAATGACACAAGTTTCTCTACCAAATTTTATTGAACTTGGCATAGCTAGTACTTCTCAATGACACAAGTTTCTCTACCAAATTTTATTGAACTTGGCATAGCCAGTACTTCTCAATGACACAAGTTTCTCTACCAAATTTTATGGAACTTGGCATAGCCAGTACTTCTCAGTGACACAAGTTCCACTACCAAATTTTATTGAACTTGGCATAGCCAGTATTTCTCAGTGACACAAGTTCCACTACCAAATTTTATTGAACTTGGCTTAGTCAGTACTTCTCAATGACTCAAGTTCCTCTACCAAATTTTATTGAATTTGGCATAGCCAGTACTTCTCAGTGACACAAGTTCCACTACCAGATTTTATTGAACTTGGCATAGCCAGTATTTCTCAGTGACACAAGTTTCTCTACCAAATTTTATTGAACTTGGCATAGCCAGTACTTCTCAATGACACAAGTTTCTCTACCAAATTTTATTGAACTTGGCATAGCCAGTACTTCTCAATGACACAAGTTTCTCTACCAAATTTCATTGGACTTGGCATAGCCAGTACTTCTCAGTGACACAAGTTTCTCTACCAAATTTTATTGAACTTGGCATAGCCAGTACTTCTCAATGACACAGACAGATGAACAACTCTGCTTTCCATATCTGGATACTGTTATTTACTGTGTTGTTATTTTCTATATAAAATGTATATACACACACATACTAATATTTGTCATTTTTGTCTTTTATATCTTCCTTTCTGCTATTTTTTTTTAAATTAGCCACCAATAAACAGTTGGCAAGAAAATAAAAGAATTAATGCTACAGCATTATCAGTGATTAACATTTTGAACATTTTTTATTTGTTTTTTGGCAGACCTCAATCAGAATAGTAGCAAAGTAATAAAACCAGCAGAAAAGGCTCCTTTCACAACACCTCTGGAAAAGTCTCCCAGTCCCATTGTGGAAAGGAAATTCGAGAGAAAGTCATCTATTTCTACCTCGAGTGTGGTTAATGGCAGTTCTCTGGGGTCTCCTGATCTCAATACTACATATGATATAATCTCAGATGTTATGCCTACAAGTCCTAAGATTCTGCCATCTTTCACTCCCACCACATTAACAAACCCTGTCCGTCCTATGAAAAAGGCCACAGCTATGATAAGACAAACTGGAAGTCCTTCAGAGTCGTCATCTGTGTCCATCGTGAGACCCGTGCCTATAGTGCCTGAAAGAGACATCCACGTACGCAAGGCAACAGTCTTTCCTGAGCAGCGTTGTGTACCAACTCCCACCTTTTCAAACTTTAACAATCTAGTTCCTGATCAACAACCACAGAGAGGGTCAGGGAATTCTGTAGACTTTGTACCAGACCAACGTGACCGTCCTGCGGGGCTTGAGTTAGAAGATTTTTTGCCTGTAAGATAAAAGCTTAAAATTACTTTATAGGCCTTAGAATCTGCATTATCTGTGTAGAGGGGAAATATTTTGATAGACTGTTTTAATCTTGAGATGCTGGTTAATATTATAACGTGACTTCAAGAGGAGTTTTTGGAACAAAATTATCATCTCTCCTTTCACTCCCATCCTAAATCATTAATTTTTCCTGTTGAATTACAATCTGGTCTTTTCTTTTTTATCCTAGGTTTTAAGATTCACATAATATTTTAGTCATCAAAGAAACTATTCTAAAAATGGTGGTATTTGTGGCATATAACCTTTCTATTACAAGTTTATAACATCTCAATAGTTGTAACTAACTTCTGACATTAAAGAGGCACTGTTGTATGTATTACATTTTGTATCCCCTTAGCCAAAAAAGATAAAATTTTAAACCCAATTTAAATATAAAGCTATTTATTATCTATCTACATGAAGTGAAAGCACTAAGCTGAATTTTTATTGACAACAAAGATCGAAATCATCTCTTGTCGTTTTTTTTTTGGTTAAAGTTTTATGAATGTCATATACAGCCTTTCATATTTGCCTTTTTTTATTTTTTACATTAATAAAAGGACAGGTAAGTTAGTAAATAGTTTCCTTCAGCTATGTTTAAGGAAAATCTTTATACAGCGTTTTGAGTGATGTGATCAAGTTATAAACCTACCTGAGATTTACCAGTATGAAGAATATTGTAAAGAAGAGAGTAGCAGTTCATGAACCCATAAAGAAGTGACAAAGTTTATTAATACCAGATCAAACATTATGTTATTTAGATCTTATACAGTATGTTGAGTGATGTGGTCAAGTTATAAACCTACCTGAGATTTGCCAGTATGAAGAATATTGTAAAGAAGAGAGTAGCAGTTTATGAACCCATAAAGAAGTGACAAAGTTTATTAATACCAGATCAAACATTATGATATTTAGATCTTAGGGCTTCCTAATTAGCAGAAAATTGAAACCATCACTGACTGTGTTTTTATGCTTATATGCACAGAGACATTTGCAGAACAGTCTTCGGATTGGAGGCCAGACTCAACCAGAGATGTCGGAGGCTGAAGCTATGTCTTCCATCTTTAAGGGCCATCAGTCGATGATCACTGTCCTCCTGCATCGTCGGAAAAATCTCCAAATTATTTTAGCTCAGTGGACTACCAAGGAACCGAGGGTATGGTTATTCTTTTCATTTCACAAATATCTATTGAAGATATCATAAAACAAACACGTTTTGGAATTAAACGTTGATTTTTGTGGTTCTACTTTACCTAGGTATCATGTGTTCATACAAAACTATACTCTTAAAATTTAGTCCAAGAAAACAAAAAAAAAGCATGAACAATGAAATTTTAAACCTACCTCCATATTTGTGCAGTAAGTATACATTATTCCTTACAATTTAAGAACAGTTCTCCACTAAATATGTATAGAAACTATACTTAGCTGTAGTAACATGTCAACAATAGTACATTTTACCCAATCTTTGTGAGTCGTTGGACATTTTTACTTGCTTGAAGACCAAGAACTGCCCATTTGTTGCTAATACTCGGTAAAGTTATCTACAGTTTTTTTTCATAGAGTATCATTTATTTTTTTTACTAAAGTTATGTCCCCTAGTGGGACAGTGGTAAGTTTATGGACTTGCATCACTTAAATCCGGGGTTTGATAGCCCAATGTGGTTTTTCTCTAAAACAAACAAACAAGTACTAATCTTATTTAAAACCTCAGTTGTATTTTTCCACTGTACTCGGTGACTAATGTAATAGCTTTTAGAACTGTATTGTTTGTAAATGAGAGAACAGTCAACTTATAAAAAAAATAAATGGGGAGGATTAATTTCAATAAAGAAGAAGTATAAAAATGTGCTGATGTGGTAAAATGTGCTGATGTGGTACGTTATGATGTCACAATATTAGACTTTCAAGAGTGTCTTAAAAAGTGCTTTGTTTTTCTGAGCTCATGCAAATTAACGTTGTGCCTTTTTTTCAGTATCACTGAATTTTATTTTTCTTCTTCAGTTGGCACTGGAATCTGCAATTAGCATGAATGACACGGCTCTTATAGTAGACCTTCTGAATGTCATCACATCAAGGGCGTAAGTAATAAATATTATAAGTGCCATTATATCAAATTGATCTAGCACACAATAATAAATGTATCTGTAAAATAATCCTCCTCCTTTTTAGTGCCACATTATATAGTTAGCTAAACTTACATGAACCCAGTAACACATTTTAATGATTTATGGAGGTGGCACTGATTTAATCTCATTGAGTGTGATGTAAGTATAACTTTTGTAAATGTTATCATGTTAGGTGTTTAAGTACAGTATTTTAACTTTATTCATATCAGAGACTTGATATAATAAGAGTTGGAAACATCATCGCATGTAAGATAAAGATGTTTCTGTTCTGAATGACAATGGACATAAGTAGACAGATTTAAATAATGTAAGATAAAGATGTTTCTGTTCTGAATGACAATGGACATAAGTAGACAGATTTAAATAATGTAAGATAAAGATGTTTCTGTTCTGAATGACAGTGAACATAAGTAGAGAGATTTAAATAATGTAAGATAAAGATGTTTCTGTTCTGAATGACAGTGGACATAAGTAGAGAGATTTAAATAATGTAAGATAAAGATGTTTCTGTTCTGAATGACAATGGACATAAGTAGAGAGTTTTAAATATTTTAATATGATAAGAGTAAACTTAACTGGTTTAAAATTCATCATTTCAAAGATGTCAATAGCTAATCATCTCAACAGTGCAAAATAAACTATACAATATTTGACTGTACAGCATGACTTAGTATAATTTTACTTTTTCTTAGAGTCATAATTCATTCACTCACTCATTAACTAACAGTATTTGATTGTACAGTATGACTTAGTATAATTTTACTTTTTCTCAGTCATAATTCATTCACTTACTCATTAACTAACAGTATTTGATTCTACAGCATGACTTAGTATAGTTTTACTTTTTTCTCAGTCATAATTCATTCACTCACTCATTAACTATAAGAGTATTTTCCTGTACAGCATGACTTAGTATAATTTTACTTTTTTCTCAGAGTCATAAGTTGTCCACCTAAGTCAGTCCAATGTACTGACCCTGTATTGGAGAAGTGATTGTTGACTATAATGCTGAACTTACTATGTAGGTCTTCACAAAATGTGCCAAGCTGTTAGTAAACGGAACAAATATGTTTTATACAAAAATCAGTTGTGTCAATAAAATATTTGCACTAAAGAAGTCTGGGTATTGACGAAGTCAGTCTGACTTGGGCTTTGACAAGTTGGAGTGCAAGGTGATGTTCATGTGAAGAATGAAAATATTTTTTTACCAACATACAATTTGCATAACCTCTACAACCTCCTAAATGCATATATATCTACAGTTTTTTGTTTTCAGTATTGCTGTATATTCTCTCTAGTATATCCTTTACTTTAGCATAAACTGTTGTGAAATCAGAAATGTACAGTAACACCAAATTTGTAATACCGTGTTGAATGGTATGTGCAATTTGACCCTCACCTGTGCTCATAGGGTTGATATCTTAGGATAGGTACATTTCAATTTCCTTATATCTGGTTCGTAATTATTACATGAGATGAAACATTTTGCTTTACCATATAACATCGTGCCAAAAACCACTAGCACCACACTTTACAAATATCTTAAACATGTTATAGTTGTGAAGTAAGATAATTTTTATTTTATTTTTAGAACTAGTGTCTGTCATGTTTTAATAATGAGCAAGTCTCAGTAGATAATGTTGAACATGGGGCTGTTCTTCTGAGAGAATAACCATGTAGAACAGGAGTCACCAACTCAAGTCATGTGTCACGAGAAGAACTTTTGTGTGGCATGCTAATTCACAGAAAAAATGATAACAAAAAAGTATATTTTTTACACACAAAAAAAGTCAAAATTGTTATTTACAATTACTACTTTAATAGTGTTAGAATTTATGCTTTATTATATTATATTAGGTGATCATAGTACACAGATCGTAAAATTATAATACTGTAACCTAAGTTTAAAAAACCAAGGTGACACGTCCAGAGGGTCCTAATTTTTGAATATTGAAAAGTAGCACCCAGTAGAAAAATATTACCTACCCTAAATGTAGAAATTTATTGTGTGATATTGATCTAAAACGTAAATTGTTGCTATGGGACTTTATGTTTTATTGAAATACTAAATAGAATGGAGGAAGTATTCTGTTTGTATATCAGATGGAATACAATGGAAAAATGTGCTTTTCATACGATGTTCTGATGCTCTTAAGGATTTGTAAATACACGAGGCTTAGAATTAAAACGTTGGTTTCCCACCATCTGGTGGCTAAAGTAGTGTATGAGCTTCGTAGATGTAATGTGCTCATCAATTCACTAGTGGCCAGGTCAACATAACTATTGTTCATCATGCGTAATCCAAGTTTTTCACAACTGTGAACTAATAGTATGTTTGTGCATGATTTTTTAGTTTAAATTTTGGACATTCATGTATAACACAATCCCTTTAACACTGCCATGTTTCAAAGCTATGTCTATCACCAATATTTCTTTTTAACTTAGGCAACTGTGGAATCTGGATATCTGCCAACTTCTACTGCCCGCTATTTACGACTTGTTACAGAGTAATTTTGAATCGTGAGTATAATTCTATACTTATTTTCTTTCACCGTTGTCTTTGGCAGTAATACTTATTATTATTTAAAGCATTGTTGCTATTGCAGAATACACATAGTTTAAAATGATGCGGGAATTACCTTTCTTGCCTTTTTGAAAATATTTCTGTTAGTTCATTGTTAAAATTGCCTGTGTAAAAGAAATAAAACTACATGGGTTTGCAACATTTGATATTCATAACTTAATATTTGATGTTAAATATACTGCTGGCTTTGTTTTCTCATATTCATTATTATTTTGTCATAATTTGGTGTTAAATTTGATGTTAAATATACCACCCGTTTTGTTTTTTGATATTCATTATTAGTTTGTCATAATTTGGTGTTAAATTTGATGTTAAATATACCACCCGCTTTGTTTTTTGATATTAATTATTATTTTGTCATAATTTATTGTGTTTTTTGTGATCTATAACTATTAGTATGATTTGTGAAATATCAGAAAATAACAGTGATTAAAATTTTTTTTACATTTTACAGTCATGGCATTCTCGTGAGAAGTAAAAAAAAATGATAGATTTTTTTGTGTTCCATAACGTTTTATTACAAGAAGTAGTGTTAAGATTTGATTTTTCATCATCAGATTTGTATAGTTCTGATTCTAAATTTACAGTTACATGTCAGTGGGATGTTCTAGTCTAAAATTGATTCTGAAGAATTTTGCGATGGTGATAAAGACCAACATAGTAGCACCACCAAGTGTAGGAGTGGATATTAATCGTGAAGAAAGGTAATTGACAGAAATTGATTTCTATGTAGCACTGCTGATCGCTTGTTTGTTTGTTTTTTCTTTTTGCACATCTAGTCTGTAGCTACAAGTCGATCTTGTGTGTTTTGTTAAATTTGATACAACCTAGGATTTCTTGAATAACCTTAAGATAAACAAACATTTATGCTATAACTCCAAATGTTTATCATAGAATGTTGTGTATTAAATACAAAATATAAACAATTTGAAATGTATTCGTGATGCTAGAAATACACGTAGATTCAAGAAATCTATTTGACACAAAGATACGATACCTCACAAACGAACACTTTCAAAAAAATGGAATCTTTCTTCTTAGGAGCAAACTGAAGAAGAAAGGTCCACCTTTCAAAAGTGATCAGGCTATAAGGGTATCATATCTTTGTGAATAATTTTAAGTGTAAACAGAGTAGGAAGATTGTATTCCAAATGTGTTCGATGGATAGAGCAGATATAATGTGGTTGATATATTGTTATACATTCTTCCTTACATTCAATCATAAGTTCTTAGTATTTGTAGTTTCATTCACCGGTGAATCAAACAAGCTGAAGTGACCGTTATACATCTTTCTGTTTCGTTTTTTTTCTGGAAGAATTTCTGATATAAGAATAAAATTCGGTTGTGACATTCGTAAACTAAAGCAAGGGAGGAGCTCACAACTTGGATCTTGAATAAGTAAAATGGTTAGATAATAACTTTTTATAAAACTATATGTGACAATAGTGTTTACTTTATGTAAAGAGCTGGTTTTAAGATATTAAAGACATGCTTATTCCTGTTTCAGATACAACAAGTGTGTCAGTTGCTACAATCAGCTTCTCTCCATCCGAGCGTTTCTGTTAAAACGACAGACAATGCAAGGAAAACTTGGCCACTCGTTCAGGGAACTGCACATGTTGATGCAAGGCCTGGAATGAAGTGTTAGTTTGTGTGCATTACCAGGATTTTAAAAGCTGAAAAAGTTTTGAATCAGTATACAAAATTAGACCTATTATACTAAAGTCACACATTGATGTTTATGTGACTATAAGTATATGCTGAATGATGAAGAATCGGGTGTGGAATTATAGAACGAATAACATATTTATCATATCTTCTGTTTTTTGTTTTTTTTTATAAAATTTGGATTTTTTTTTCCAGTAACCTTAAATTACTGTAATAACGAAAGCTTTTTTTTTTATTTATAAACATTCTGAAGTTGAAAATCACTCAGAATCTGAATATTGGTTTTTTTAAAAAAAAAACAAGTTTTCTTTATCGTCTCTAACCCCTAATTCTTGATGGTGTGAGGAACAAGAAGTATTTTTCTATACAAGGATTTCAAAAGTACCAGTTAAAGGTTGTAACTAAAACATTCCATTTTTAACTTTTTTTTGTTTGTTCTAGCAGATGATGAATAGTTGTAATAACAACTAGTAGTCAAGATACTTTTTTCTAGAAGTAAATCTTTACCTGATTTTCACAGAAAGTAAGCTTCATATAGAAGTTAGTATCTGGAGCTCGAACTTTATATGATCATCAGACTTTCACAGAGAGTAAGCTTCATATAGAAGTTAGTATCTGGAGCTCGAACTTTATATGATCATCTGACTTTCACAGAGAGTAAGCTTCATATAGAAGTTAGTATCTGGAGCTCGAACTTTATATGATCATCTGACTTTCACAGAAAGTAAGCTTCGTTTAGAAGTTAGTACCTGGAGCTCAAACTTTACCTGATTATGTGATTTTCACAGAAAGTAAGCTTCGTATAGAAGTTAGTATCTGGAGCTCGAACTTTATATGATCATCTGACTTTCACAGAAAGTAAGCTTCATTTAGAAGTTAGTATCTGGAGCTCAAACTTTACCTGATTATGTGACTTTTACAGAAAGTAAGCTTCGTTTAGAAGTTAGTATCTGGAGCTCAAACTTTACCTGATTATGTGACTTTTACAGAAAGTAAGCTTCATTTAGAAGTTAGTATAACTGCTTTTTCTTGAAGTAAAGATTGCTTAAACTTATGCAGAACATCACCATACATATACTCTACCTTAGAAGACTGAATATGAACTTGTATTGAAAACCTTATTTCATGCATCTTCTTTCTCCTGTGATGCATCTTTTAAACTGATGAATGAAGTTATGTCTTGTAACGACATTGCTTTTCTTACCTTATATTCAAAACAGCAACTCTTGAACAGACATTGATAACCATCAGTTTGATAATATGTTAGATGATAGAATTCATTAGTCAAGAATAAGAGGAAATAAATGGCACTCTTGAAAGATTTTTACACAGTTAAATTTAAGTCTTTTTTTTTTTCCTAGTTCATGCATTAAAAAGTTTTGAATTTAATAAAATTAATTTAGAATAGAAAATTTAACATAAATGAATTATTTAAGAAAATGACTCATTATAGTTTTAAAACAATCCTCAAATGTAATAGTGACTACAAGAGTTTTCAGTAATTTTTTTTTACATCGTACATCTTACAATAGAGTAAATGGTTATTATTCTCAATAGTATATTCTTGACAACATAGGTTTCAGATGTTACTCTTTTATCCAATATTTAAGTCTCGTTAAATGATAATCTAAATAATTTTTCCCATTGTTTCCTTTGCAGTCATTTGCTTATTTATTTGAAATAAGTTCATTATAAATTTAAATACTTCAGCAATTTTCCACAGATAACATAATTATGTTTTATCTTCAAAACCTGTAAAATAAAATAAATTTAATTGAAGAGCAGTTGATACAATTAATATTTATCAACTAAATCAAAACATTTTAACTTAGCTTCAAGAGCTAAGTAAAAACAACTGCCTGTTCAACTAAAAAAAGAAAAACTCGATAAAATTGAGGTACTCTTGCAGAAAACATTAAGATAATTAATGTGCCGTGTATTAGCCTTGTCATAGTTTAAGCTTAATCTTAATATTAGAGTTTTAGTAATATAAAAAAAGTGCCTTTTTTAAATATGTGGCTCCCAATATTGTACTGAGAGCACCATTTACATGTTTGGTAATATGAAAATGCCATATTTTTTTAGATTTAACATCCCCATACATTGTTATTACATTTACCTTTTCTTAATAGTTTTAAACTTTTGTTTTTGAAGGTTGTATTGACCCACAGTTGATGAGTAAAACAGAATCACTGTTACATGTATAAGGTTAAACTGTGCCATATTTTTTTTCAAGAGACAAACATGTTGTCTTGTATGACTTGGGATATCAAATATTTGATAGGTGAGATTGGAACAAAACAAATTCTCTTGGTATGTTGTATATTTGTTTCTTAATTGATGAGCAATGATGTTTTTTATTCTTTGGTTTCAGATAACAGCGAAAGAAAAAAACATTTTAATTGTATTTAATGAGAATTCACTGTTGTGCCTGTTGCTGTTTATATTTTAAGCCTATGGCTTATGTTTAAAATTAATTTACAAAACTAACTATTCAATAATATAGATATTAAACCAATAATTTTCTGGTAAAATTTGTGGCAGTTGTGACTTCAGCTCAAAGAAACACTAAAGAACTTTGAAGAAAATTAGATATGTTGCTGATTGAAAAGTAGAAAAAGTAAATAATACAATAGATTTTGTTTTTTTGCAAGATTTCTGTTGTTTATTGTATTTGTTATCAGGTTACCATCACAAAAAAACATAGTGTTTTATTGGTTCCTAGCCATCAATCTAATGTTTAATATCTAAAGTTAATGGAATTCATACCCGAAAGAACACATTTAGGAGTAACATGTTCGATAAGTATGAGAAGAAATTCTTCACTATGTTAACAATGAACACTATTTTTGAGTATCTTGGACTTTTTTAAACGCTCATGTTGCCTAGTAATGCTTGCTCATATCGTTAATTTATTACCTAGGGCAATATTTTTGTGTATATTGGCTTGGGTTATACAAGTTCCTTAAACAACTAGTTATAGCAGTGGTGCTGATTTGCATAACAATCAAATGTTTTGTTTATTATAATTTCTTGCTCATCACTTAACTAAATCTTTGTGTACTTTAATGTTGTATATATATTTTTTTTCTCCATCCTTTGTTGGTATCATTTAGACTTTTTTAGCCAAATCAAATAGCAGGACTGAGTGCATTTTTTTTTGACATTTTCATCAATAAAGTTTTGTGGGTGTACATGATAAATTTAGTATGATGGTTTGTTGGAACTTTATATAGGAATGAAATATATTTTTTCATCATAAACGCTAGTTTAATTTTTTTCCTCAAAATGTTACAAAATTTGATAGAAAAGTTTAATGGTGGAATACTAGCTATTCCACTAGCACACGAAAATACACTCGTAAACTAAAAGTACATGAAAATATATTATTGAACTAAAACCACATGAAAATACACCCTTGAACGAAAAATATTAGAAGTTAACAAGAGATTTCTTGTGAGTATTCTGTTTGACTTTTTAATTCTTAAAATTATATAAAAAATAACACAGTAAACAATGTGTTTATAACTATGCAGTTAGTTCTCATTTTTTGTAAATTAATGACTCACAAAAATGCTATAATTAAACCTCAATCTGATAAGATAATACTGAAGAGTTTTTTGTGAGTGCAGAACCGATAGATGAAACAAATTATTATCTTCAGGTTTTTTCTGGACTTGGATAACATATTTTTATTATTTATTCTGTGGCACGAACCCCTAAGATCCTAAATTCCCAATTTTATTGTCCTGGTTCTTTTACTTGGATTCTTATTTTATTTCTCAAAGAACGGGATGATAAAAATTACAAGTGTTGGAGTTGAATGTTTAGCTTTTACAGTGAATAAACATTATTTTCCATGTGCTGCCCTCTACAGAATCACTGAAAAATTAACAGGAGTCAATATACAAAGTAGTAGTAGTAAATTTCAGAACTTATGAAAGTAAGTAACAATGTGAACTACACTATATATGCTATATCAGTGCTGACGAGACATTTCGCCGAATATCAGAGCTTATCAGAGTGGCTGAGATACGACTAACATAGCAGATGTCGCTTGAAGACCTACTGCTACCGTGTGAACTAGATCAAGTTAATGAACTTTAATTTTTATCAATTCTATTTAAGTCATTAAACATCAGAATTAGGTTTATCTTAAAATAAAATTGTTTATTATTAATCAAATGAATTAGTGAATCAGAAATGTATTCCTTTTTTGTTCTGTTTTTTTTTTAAATCCACGCTATAAAAAAATAAACATTAATTTAGTTAACCCCATTATGTGTAACACAATATATACACTTTTATAAACCATTTTTATGAGCTTTATTAAATATTTGCGTTTAGGAGAGAGAGGATAGCTGCAGGTAAAAACAGCATAAATAGAGTACTTGAAATTAATTTTATAGAGCAGTTCATTGCTTTCTTCTAGCCCTCTGACGGCTCAGCGGTAAATCTGATGACTTATAACGCTAAAAATAAGGTTTCGACACTCGTAGTGACACAGAACATCGTGTAATTTTGTACTTGACAACAAACAAACTAAGCATGAAAAAGAAAAAACGCACGTTAGGGCCTTGTTAAAACTTTGTCACCTAATTGCGATTAAATTTTACATTGAACTATAATAACTAGACATTAAAATATTAATCGTTATTTTAGTTAACATACAGCTTTGTAAACTGAAAATGCATGTTTCTAAAACCCACCTGTTTTTATGAAGTCTTAGCAGAAACTGGAGGATTGGTTTGATTTATTTTGAATTTCGCGCAAAGCTACACGAGGGCTATCTGCGCTAGCCGTCCCTAATTTAGCACTGAAAGACTAGAGGGAAAGCAGCTAGTCGTCACTACCCACCGCCAACTTTTGGCCTACTCTTTTACCAACGAATAGTGGGAGTGATCGTACATTATAACGCCCCCATGGCTGAAAGGGTGAACATGTTTGGTTGGACTGGGATTGCGAGTCGAGCGCCCTAACCACCTAGTCATGCTGGGCCGAAACTCGAGGATAGCACAAAAGATCAGCTAAAAAATATTAGACTTAATTGTAGGTTGTACGTGATTAAAGACATTCACTGTTTCTTGAACATCAGTATCTTCACGTTTTTAATCTTTTATTATTACATAACTAATTTTCTATTTATTTAAAAATTAAAACATCAAAATAGTCAGAAATACACAGAACCAGTTCCTCGCGTCCATAAATTCCATTTGACGATAATTTTGATGTTATTTCACAAATTAAAACAAAACTCGAACTTATTGTATTTTGACATGGTCGTTGTATTATAAAGCTTTACAATTGCTGGTCATAACATCACAATCATTCGAAGAGTTTGATGCAGACGTTGATTTCTGCTGAGGGTATGTTTTTAGCTATTATTACATGTTTGTTTTGTGTTAAGGAAACAACACATAATTTTTATATATCTGTATGGAATATCGTGTATTTATCAGTCAATTAACGATATTATGATACTTTACAAATGTTTACTGCCCATATTTAGGCCTACAATTCGCCATCATCGATGATAAAATATAATGTGACAGCGCCACCTGCCATAGGTGTGAAGATTAATCGCGAGGAAAAGTTTAATTATGAAACATTGGATTTTGTGTATAAAAATAGTTGTTCGCATTGTTTTACGAATTTACAACAAAATGATACAATTAGGGAGCCCCACTGAGTAGTTTTTAGACACAAAGTAACCACCAACAGATGGAGTACATATTATTTTGTGTATTTTACAATTTGGCACTAAAATGCGAAATTGAATGGTTTTCGTATAAACTGTTGAATTGTTGATAAAACTTGCAAATATTAGAATTCGTACACCTCGCCATTTTAGAGAAAGAGAAAAAACCATAATTATATGTATATATATAAATTTTTGTTTCAATTTTGAAATAGAGTACACAGAAACCAATTACCAGATGTTGGAAATACCCATTACAAGTTATGTCATTACTTTTGAAATGGACCGAGTGTGGCTCAGTGGTTAGCGAGCCGTACTGTGGATTTGCGGGTCCATCATTTCCATCCTGTTACAAAAAAAAAAAATCTCTCTTCCGCATTTTGAGGGCGTGGGTGTGTTATAAATGATAGAAGAGTGATCAACGTATGGGCAATGGACGTTGTTGAGTAGTTGTCTTTCCTTTTTTCTGGCAGTTGAAAATCGGGAATGGTTGGCGCAGATAGCCCTTGAGTAGCTTTGTGCGGATATCTTAAAAACAAACTTTTGAAATAATACCTGATATTCATAGACTCCTCGCTGATGTAAAATAACTCAAGTTAACTCTGTAACTGAAACTCACGATTGTTGTTACTTGGTATTTATACGAAATTTTACGTTAGAAATATGGAGGGCGACTTTTAAGTGTCGATTATGAAGGACCGACTCTCGTCTTCAGAAGGTGAAAAATGAGTCTGTTGAGAACTATGTTTCCAAAGTTCATTTGCAGTCAGAATAATTCACAATAACTTAAAATTACAGATTTGTTTTTTTTATCACTTTAGTCGTAATAAGCTTCAATATTAAAATTCATCAAGCCAACTAGCTGGTCACATTTTTCTCCACGTATTATCTAGCTTAAATATCGGCGTTGTTTTCTGATGCACTAAATATTTTATAGCATATTATAAATAAATATTTATGAAAAAATATATGATAAATATATATGTGTCAACCTATATGTTTCTTGTTTTTAAACTTCAAAAATACCATTAAACGTACGTAAACATTGCTACTGTAAGTTTGTTTTAGCGCAAAGCCACACATTTGGGCTATCTGCACTCTTTCTACGCAGGGAATCGAACCCCAGATTTTCACTACTGTTGGATGCTTTGGTAGAAATCTTTTTCTGGTTTATAGATATGCAATTCTGGTTTGACGTATCCTAGGGCTCTGAGAGAAGATTCAGGAAACAAAAATACTGCAAAAATTATTTACGGCAATAAATAACACGACTATACCAAAAGCAATACAGACAGCACTCGCATATCCGACCACAAAAAAATTGGGGGTTGGTTACTGATCTGAACAACCGTTCACTTGCGTAAAATCGTTCGCTATAGGTTTTATATGCCATTTATTGTTTGCAAAGTGTGTTTATTGTTCATCTAACAATGAATAATACAATTCTACAATTGCTTTATTATAATAAAGTAACACATTTTGTCATACATGTCAGAAAACGGCGTAGTTTGCCCGATTACTTACATTATAATAGATGTATAAAAACAGTGATGTAATAGTCATCTTCAACAGTGTTACGCCGAGATAACAACTAAGAACAGCTTACAAAAAAAAAAGTTCCAAATACTGCCATCCAATTTATGTCCACCCCTCATAATTTCAATCATAACTGCTTTCAACATTCTTGTGTTTGTCATTTTGTTACTTTTTTGTAGTGAATCAATCCAGAACTTTAGATGCCGTTAACGTTCTTTGTAGGCGAACGCGAAACTCATCACACATGTTAATCACAGTGTAAGACAGCAACAATAACATTCAATTTTTGTGTAGCGGTTTTGTCAAATGAGAATATAATGATGGAGAACCAAAGTTCCACACAATATTGTAATTTGGCAGCGCTCTATAATAAGGCTATTTTGATGTCGAGAGTATGGCCGACTCTACCATTATGTGACGCCTTCCCTCTTCCATAGCCCTTCTTTTCTTTCTTCTCTTCTCTGTTCACAACCAATAGAATTGTCCGTAGGTCATACGAGAGCTTACATGTTCTTCTTTTAATGTGTTTGTTTCTGTCACAATTTTGGTTAGGTCGTGATGATGAATCAGAAAATCGGTTTATATATCCTGAACAAACTATGACAATTAGTAAACCACAGAGAAAAATGATCTAACGCCGAAATTAAGTTTTGACAAGGTAAATGTATCCGTTTTACAATGATAAATTCGTTTTTCTTTTCTTTTATTTCGTAAATTGATTAAGAATATATTCATATATTTTGATACCAAATTAAGGGTAATTAATTAAGTCTTTAGAAGGTTGATTGGTGAGCTATATATATATAACACAGACCGTTTTTTTTTATTATCAGTTCTTGTTCATTTATGTTCCTACATAAATTATTAGAACAGTGTGATGAAATCACCGAAGAAAGAATCGTATGTTACAAAAAGATCCTGAGAAAAGCAAGTGTGAGTTACCCCCTCTTTATGCTGTTATATTGTCTT